GGCCCGAAAAGTTCTGCGCAGGAATCGGCGCCAAAACACCCCAAATCACCAAAGTCGTTGGAAACTCGTTCCAGTGGTGAATTGGTGCCTCAAGTAAGGATATCATATCCGTTAGGCGCAAAATCGCCTGGAACCCGCCCTGCAGTCACTGTAGCTTAAACAGGCCTCTGGAAACGGCATTTGTAGCACGGGCGAAAAACCCCTTCGTATTAAAAGGATATCACACTCAGGCTCACACTTGCGTGATGTTGGAGCTGATAAATCGCGACCGGTGAGCTTTTTCGCTTTTTGCTGTTCCTTCTGCACTTTCGATAAAAAACTGGAACGTGGGAAAAGGGAACCAGCTAGAGTTTCTATCCAAAGTATAGCATTCTGCAGATGCACTACCACCTCTTCCGTGTGTGGGGAATTTTCTGGGAGAAAATCTGGAGGATATTTCGAGAAAAAGCTACAAAAGGGTGCTAGAAAGTCAGCAGAATCTAGAGAGATTGGAAAACGATGGGGAAAGGGGTTCGAAACAGAGTAGGAAATTTAGAGAGAGAAAGGTCGCATTGTGAAACTTTTCTCCATCAGGCGTCACATCAGGCATTCCCTGACAAAATCCTCAGTTTCTACGAAAGATAGAAAGATTTTTATGTGCACCTGCACTTTTTTCTGCCACTGCCTAATAACAAGAACTTTAATCTGACTGACCTTCATTGGGCACTTTCAGTTTCGCCATGTCGTTTGCTCGTTTCTGACCGCCTATTGACGATTGTGGTGTGACCGGCATCAACGCTGCTTGAATCGCTGCCGACCATGATTGTGCCGAGTTGAGCGAATTCTCTTCAGATGGTGAACCAGCTTCAAAAGGAAAATATTCGTAATCGTTCGAGCTGACAAGAAAGGAAAAAAAGCTCCCCTAAAGATTCGATAGAATAATCGACGGATCAGCTCAAATGCATCAGCTCAAAACGTTAATGATATTATCACTACTTTATTGTCAGTACAATCAATGGTAATGTTCGGCTTGGAGGGGCATTTTGCTATCATTACTTTCTTTCGCTAGTTCATGTTGACTAACATGTGCGATTTCGGTGAAATTTGTGAGCTCTTGTGAAGCTGCGAAAGTACAATGTGGTTACAAGCATTCGTTGTTGGGGATCCCACGGGGGGGGGGTCGTATTTTGGCCGCTTGGAAGAGGGGGGTGGGGAAATTTAACTAGTTACAGAAAATCCTTGGGCTGACTGATGTCTGGAAGGTGCTTAGAAGCAGGGGAATTTTTAGCTTGTTTTTTCGTTTCTTGTTTCTCACTTGTTTTTCTTCGCAGGTATGTAGGTGCTTGGAAGAAAACGCAAATAAAAACGGCAAAAACGAAACGGAACGCTTAGAGGGGGGGGGGCTGTTATATCGCGCATTTCAGGGAAGGGGGTCGTACAGACCTCGAGTAAAATCCCCGAACCAATGATGTGCCCCATGTGCGATTTCGGTGAAATTTGTGAGCTCTTGTGAAGCTGCGAAATGGTACAAGTGGTTACAAGCATTTACGAGTTTAACAAGTGAGCTGAGTACCATTTAGTGACCCCCACGAAGCCGAACTGTGCCCAACGATTAGTTAACAGTTACTAATTGTAAATAACGGATACAAAGTCGGAAACGAAAATACAGAAGTTTATCCGTTGTCACTGAGGCAGGAATCGTTGTTCATGTTTGAATTTGTTCGTTCGTTTTTCTTGAACGCACCTAGTTTTTTTGATGCCTTTTTATTGGTAATGAAGCTGTGATTTTGCAGCATTAAGAAAAACATCTCATGTTTTAGATGAAACCTACCTTGATGAAGGCATAGATTCAAACTCTAGGACGTGAGATGGTCATGGAGGATTAAATCACGTGAAACTCAGTTACGGCCAAATGTTCTGCAAGGTGATGATTTTGAAATTTCTTCTGGTTGCAATGGAACACTGGAGTATACATTCTTATCACCGGGCCCTAGCTCAGATTGAAGGAATTCATTCGTGCCTGCTTTTTCTCAACCAACGCTCCAACCTTGTGGAGACCATCGCTCGGCGTTGTCTACGCTATAAGCGTAAGCCTTCGTTAGGAAAAGGGACAGGAGGCGCGATCTGGGTGCTCCTTCCCGCCACTACATCGCTATTTTCACTTACTACTACCATATATCTGTAACAAAAGTAAAATCACCTCGACTGGTTGATGGACTATCCACCGCATATTGATCTAAGACCTCACTGGTCACGATTTTCTTCTGTCTCGAGAAGTGAACCAACGGAAAATCGTAGGCAGCCACAGATAACCGGTTCCAAGAGCATCATGACTGTGAAAGCATAACAGGTAACATTATGATTACCGGACGAGAAGATGAAGACGCCGATAAAAGGAACCTTACAATAGAGTTCAATCAAAGGAGCCGACATGACCGAGAGAGATCAATGGTCACAAACATCAGTGAAGTTGAGAAAGAAATCCCAAAACATGGGAGTTGGGAAAAACTGGTACTCAAAAGAAGAAGGTTATAAATTTTACAGGTCTTCCACAATTCGGCAAAGTTTACACTATAGTGTAGTAGTGAAAGCTAATAGTGGGCAGCATGAGAGTGAGAACTTGAGAGAACTGGGAATAGTGGTATAATTAAGGTGGTTGCTATTATGCGGAATCCTTTTCAAAGTGAAGCCATAAGACAATGTCTTACAGAAGTCGCACGGTCATTTAGCTTGATTGGGCACGTGCCACTGGCATAGATCATCTGCGCAGGCGGATTCAAGCTAGCTGCAGTGACAATCCGTTCAGCAGGCGATCAATAGGTAAAGGAACAAGGAAGCCCGGTTGAAGGGGGAGGTTGTCGTATCTAAGAAGATGAGAAAAGCTAATGAATTTCGGGGAAAGAAAGTGTAGAGATTCGTTGTCCCTGAGTGCATAGTTAAGCTCGACCAATCCGGTAGACGGCGGGATTGTCTTTGCAGTTTATTGGCATATTTGCTGCTATCGTCTGTGCTGCATGAAGCTTTGAGGTGCCACTGGTGGAGGGAGGTGGGCTAGTGCTTCATATCCAGGGCCAGAGTGAGGGACGATCTAGAAGGAGGGAGGGGTCGCATTGAAAAAAACTGCTCATTGCGATGACGCGTCTTGTCTAGGGATAGGCTTCAGTAGAGTTCTGTACTAGCTGACTGCCAAAGTCTCCGGTGCCCATTACTTCAGAAAAACTGGGATAATTGTCCATTAGCTGGCGAGTCTGACTTGATCGACTGATGCGATGAATGGAGAGACGTTAGCGTAACATTACTACTACTGGTCAGTCCTACTCAGGAATGCAAGGCAACAATACTTGGTTTTTGTGGCGCCAGGATTGAAATAAGATGCTATTCAGAAGTGAGGTAATGAAGTAAACGACAAAGAGTTATGTCTTACGCAGTAAACATCGATAAACAAAGGATAAATTACGAACAGGTGACGTGTGTTTGCACGACGTTTCGCGGAATGTGTCGTCCCCTCAAAACAGGGTCACAGTGGCCTGGGCCACCTGCATCTACACGTACCCCCACAATTACCCCCAATCAACAACATTGCTGTTTATCTGTAAATTACCTGCGATGAGTGAGGGTATATGCAAACAGAAGAGCTCGTAAGGGAGAGTTCATTCATAGTCAAACCAATGAAAACCCAAGCTTAGCCTTGCGACGAGGAACGCCTCGTCGCTTCTGGGTGAAATCAAAGGCGTATGACGTAAATGGAAAAACGAAGAGAAGAATGAGCTCATTTCTAGCGGGATATTCAAGCATATTAATAAGCCCACGTAATGAGGTGAATATACAAATATTCTGCTAAATCTAAATATAAAAGAATTTTGTGAATAGCATTAAGCAATCTCCTGCGCATTTCACTCGCTCAAGTATTTCACAGCCGGAG